GGGAACCCCACAAGGCAAAAAAGCATTACTTGAGTAATGTTCACCCATCTTGACTGAAAAACTTCTATTTGCAAAATACGATTTAAACCAATCTAGAGCGACACCTCTTAAACCAACGCAATGTTCTAAACGATCAATGAGAACAGCATGATCGACTGTATCGAAAGCAAAATCAAATCTAAGAGCACAAGAACTGCAAAATCACCCGAATCACATGATATTAAAATATCATTAAGAACTTTCAAAAGTGCAGTCTCGGTAGAATGGCATTTACGAAAACCTGACTGAAATGTTTCAAACATTGAATTATCAGCTAAAAAACTATGTAACTGCGATAACACTATTTTTTTCAGAATCTTGGAGATAAAAGGCAGATTAGAAATGGGCCTAAAGTTTGTTAAAACCGATGAGTCCAGATACTGTTTTTTGAGCAGTGGGTAAACATGCTTTAAACAGTCAGGCATAATGGCAGATTCTAAACTGCGATTAATGATGGCCAAAAGATACAGAGCAATGTCGATAAAAACTTGCTTAAATAAAAAAGGAGGAAGAATATCCAAAGACGAGGCCGAAAGCTTACGCTGCTCAACTATTTCCAGCAAATCTGGAAGTGAGACTAGTTTAAACCGACTAAAAAAGGTAGTGGCGATGGAGGGATTAGACGGATTAAAAGATGAGGGAGTTATCCCCAGCTGGAGATCCCTAATTTTACTATCAAAAAATAATACAAATTCTTCACATGATGGAGAAGAAACCCCAGGAAAAAGACAGGCCGACGGGTTGAGAGTAGCATTAATGTTCAAGAGAGTCTTTTGGTCTAGAGCAGTTCTTATTAATAATATCTGACAAATGTCGACATTTTGCTTTTTTCACTGCTTTCTGATATTTAAAAAGAGAGTCCTTTAAAATCTCAAAAGAAACATGAAGCCTGTCCTTTTTCCACTTTCGTTCCGCTCTTCTACAACATCGTTTGAGAGAACGAATAGAATCATCAATCCAGGGTTCAGAACAGGTTCATATTGTACCTATATATATATATATATATATATATGGTTGTACCAGCATTGTTGTGCCTACTATTCACTTTCATAGTGTTGTTCAATATAGATGTTACTGTGTAAGATCTTTTTGCAAAGATTGCAAAACATTTACTCAAAATTGCCATCCTGCCAACTACACTTTTGACAAGGTGGCTAATTCATACAAATTTGTACAACCTCACTTGAACGAATTCATACGATTTGTGAAAAATTTTAAGTATTTTATAAGGTGGCAAATTTGTAGAAATTCGTATGAAGGACCACACCTTCGTATACACTTGACAAGGTGGCCAATTCATACAAATTCATACAACCTCATTTAAACAAATTCATATGATTTGTGAAAAATCTTAAGTATTTTACAAGGTGGTAAATTTGTAGGAATTTGTAAGAAGGATCATACCTAATCCCGCCCCTAAATGTAACCATCACAGAAATCATACAAAATCGTACGAGCAAGGTTGTATGAATTAGCCACCTCGTAAAATATGTTTTGTTTCACAAAACATACGAATTGGCCATAAGATAGCATTGGTCCTGTGGCAAAACATTTTGACAGTTGCCTTTTAGACCAAACTTGGATGCAGCAGTGAGTGGAAGGATATTTTGCTAATAAAATTATCTACCTGCGAAAATGATTTCTCACATTTTCAGACGTTTCAGTGTGGACGAGCAACTTTCGGAAAATGCTTAAAAAACGGAGAGTGAAGAGGGTTTTCAAACAAATACGGCATTTTCAAATTTTAAAATGTGGATGTAGATTTAACTAATTATTTGATTTATTTAAAAAATAACAAAAAATGCAAACATTTAAATGTTTGCTTAGCTAATACATTTTTATTTATTAAAAGAGTTCTATATTCTATATTACCTGTAGAGATCTATCCAATAGCTTTTCCATTAATTTCAATGGTAGTTGCATCACCAGGATGCTGCCATCTTTACTCATGGACACTGCTGCTTAAAAACAAATGTTCTCGGAATACACTGCTACATTTTAATGGCATCAATGCAGAAAGAGGGGTTTTGCCTGAAAATATATGGAAAAAAGGTCAAACTAACCATGTTTAACATTTTCGGGCAAGTGCACAGCTCATTGGTCGATAGAAATCAACAACTGCATTGGTCATGAATTCAAATATTGCTTAACTCAACATGTTTTAAAATAAACAAATTACAATATAATCTCTTTTCCTGTAGACATGTATCTTGTGACACATGTGAACAGGACTGCAATACTCAAGATTTTTTTACTGGTAAAGAGAGTGAAATGCCCTCAGATATCAGGAGCAGGATGATAAGAAGTCAGATTAGTATGGTAGGGCATGAAAAAGATATTGCATTGGAGCATTTAAAAAAAAAAAATCTAAACTGGAATCTTAGCTGAGCATAAAGGACGATTCGTATGTGAAAACCAGTTGGACCATTGCTTCAGAAAAGCCACAAAAGCCACATCGTTCAGTACTTTTAGTGTTTATTTCTACAATGTTTCTCCAGAGCAATGTTGATTCATGCAAATATTTCTGGAAAACACAACACATTAAAATGTCTGTTTTGCTTTTGTCCTTTTAACAAAAAACTTTTCACATTTGACTTGTTTTCTTCATACATTTTGCAGGGTTAAAATGTCTTTCAGCTTCTTCATGGTTATTGTCTGTGAGCACATCAATATGTTTTGTAATGCCCCATCACTGTTGGCTCGGCCATATAAGTTCCATGTTCTGCACATGAAGAATTAAAAAACTTTTTTTTTTTGTCCTTTCACATTGTCCTTTTTGACTCCACTGAAACTTTTATTAAGTTATGCAAACTTGTGCTAATTTAAAATATTACTACACAATAATTGGCACAATTCTAAAAAGTAGCACAGATACCATCTCCTTACATTGGTTTTCTGTTATACCCATGCAAAATGCCCTTTCAAACATTGTCGACACTTATTTTTGCATTTTAACATCACAAGATCAAAACAGTTCCAACAAATTAACTTCTTTTGCTACCTTTCGTCAAACAAGAGTATGATATTGAACACATGTCATAATAAAATGTATAAATATTAAATAAAATACGAAAAACCTTTTAGGAAAAAGACTTTTTGTGGAACAGGGTACATTCCAATTTATTGGCATTTTAATAAATCTAACCGCAAAGTATACCAGGTTTAGCAGCTGGTAACATTTTTTATTTGTAATTAATGGTCCAAATAAAAGATCTTATACAGATGGACCTTCATTTTTTGGACCAAAGCAGCATTTTCGTTATAGACATCAATGTCCCATTAGTCATGAAACATAAATATGACATTTTCATTTAACAGATTCTTCCTACGCATCAAGTAACAAATTAGGTGTTAAAGACAACATGAAATGGTGTTTGAAACCCTTTCACAAATAATTTTACTAATAATAGCCATCATTTGACATTTTAATGTAAAACAGGATACTCAGTGAAAAAAAAATGAAGGAGGCGGTAGGCTGAATTGATCTATTTTGACAGGTGTCTGAATTTGACAAGTGGTTGGAGGGGAAGGTTTGAAAGTAAGAGGTATTTTAAGTAGTGCTGTCAAACGATTAATCGCATCCAAAATAAAAGTTTTTATTTACATAATATATGTGTGTACTGTTTATATTTATTATGTATATATAAACACACAACCATGCATGTATATATTTAAGAAAAATATGTTACATTTATATATTAGATATATTTATATATAATATAAATTATATTAATATAAATGTATACATGTAAATACATGTAAATATTTTCAAAATATATACTGTATGTGTGTGTATTTATATATATACATAATAAATATACACAGTACACACACATATATTATGTCAATTAAAAACTTTTATTTTGGATGCGATTAATCGCGATTAATCGTTTGACAGCACTAGTTTTAAGTCATCAAAAAAGAAAATCAGTTTAGTGGCAGAAATTTTGGGAAAACATTTTTTATGTTTTGAATAATGCACATTGGTAAGTGCACAGTAAGACTAGGAATGTGTATTAGGAAAGTAAATAGGGTAGATTTCGATTTCATCTTGACTTTTAAATATTACACAGTGAATGGTATACCTGAGAAATCCTTAAACTTCCCTCAGTAAGCACATGTACGTCAACAAAACATCTATGAAAGAGATCATTGCAAATCTGGAAAGCATAACATGTTCTTTTAAACATCACGTTTTGTCTACAAACATCCAATCAACGCAAATTCATATATAAAAATCTAAATCTCACATTGCAAAAACATTGGGTGAATGTCATTCTAACATCCAAAAGGAACTTCTCCAAGAGAATCCAAAATCCATAGAGAAAACCAAAAAGACATCTCAGTGACATACGTGTGCTATCAGGACTCAGGAATGCAAAAAGAGGAAATAATGTAAAGTACATAATGTGGTATCGTTCTTTACTGTATTAATATATGAACACACAGTGGCTGAATGGTTTTTGAAGTGTGTTTCTGGTAGCCATCATGTCTAAATCACTCTTGCATTTTGTGGTACACCCACAGCCCTGTAAAGAACTGTTTCTGAATGCAAGAAGGGAGAAGATGAAGAAGATGTTACTTAAAAAAAAAGAGTTTTTCAATCTACCATTCAAACCTCCCTAACAGTCTTCTGAAATCAAGTGATCTTTTCTTGCCAGTTTCGGTTTAATAGTGAGCAAACTGAGATTTGACAGTGCAGATTCTCAGCAAATTATAATTTAACATTGTAATGCTACAACATTAAATAAATAACAAAAAGGTCAAGACCAAAATGAATAATACAACACACTTATAAAGTAACCAATAAGCTTCCAAAGTCATATCCACTGACCACAGGGATGCACAAGCACAAAACAATACCAACACAGTTCCTACTGTGCTTCTGAAACCACGTAAGTCTCCACATGAAATGTTTTTGCTGTTTTTTTCCCTCATGTTCCAAATAAAGTTTTTTAAAAATCTTTTTTGACAATCACTTTTGCACAAAAAGAAAATCAACATATTGCTTCATATTTTCACAGAGTTTTTTTTCTATTCTTCTAAAGTTGCTTCGTTTTGGTCTAATTATACGTGGAAAACGTGGTTGAGACACAATCTGCAGACTCTGGTGATTGTCTTACAGATTCCCTCGGAGATACTCGTCATCAGGAAGAGTTTCAAGCTGTCTGCTCTTCTTGGGATGCTGAGCATTTGTGCGTCAGCTACCAACGTTTCCTCTGACGCGTTTGCTTCACAAGGACTTGAGTCCTTATTGTCATCTAGTCATCCCAAATATATGTGCAAGGTTGGTAAATGCCAGTGACCTGTCTACACGCATATTTCAATCGGTGTCGTGACTAGGATTCGACCATTGTTGCCGTTGTTATCACGGGAGATGCGCTCATAGCCGCCAGTGGAGGAAGCAGGGCTGTTCGAGGATGTAGAGGAGTAGTGCGCCGTCACTGGCTCCATGACGATGCCTCCTTTAGCTACCCCACATACAGGCGACAAGCTCTGCTGCTTCAAACGGTCCACCAACTCATCTTCTTCAGAGGAAGAAGAGCTAAGCTCAGCCTGACGGCCATTCATCACTGTGCCGTTGTTGCTGTTACCGCCCGAGACATGGGTGGTGTTGCCGTTCTCCGTGTCGAGCATCCAGCAGTGGTTGAAGTAGCTGAAGACCTCTTTGACAGAGCATCGGCGGTCCTGCTCGATGGCCAGCAGGCAGCGGAACATGCGGAGCGCCTCGTCAGTGAAACGGCGCCACTGTGAAGGCACCGCGCTGGCTCGCCTCCGCCGATGCTGCCAGCGCACAAACTCCTCGTAGAAGGCGTCAGTCGGGAGTGCTTTTTCCCAGGGGAAATTCCCAGTGAGCATGCAGAACAGAAGTACACCGAAAGCCCACACATCAGTGCTGTAGTCTACACACAGGCCCTCTTGCCGGCTGGGGTCGCACAGTTCTGGAGCCGTGTACGGGATGGTTCCACTCACCCGCTTCACCGGAGAGCCAGCGCACCGCGTCATGCCAAAGTCTGACAGTTTCACCTTCCGGCACTCCTTGTCAAAGATGAGGACGTTCTCCGGCTTTATGTCACGATGCACCAGCTTCTTGCAGTGCAGGTAATCCAGTGCTATCGCCACCTGGTGCACACACCGCTTGGCAACGTTCTCCGGCAGTCCAACCTACGCACAGGAGAGCGGAAAAAATACGTAATTAGACGCTACGCCATGTGGTTACATAATGGGTGCTATCGTAATTCTCACAGACAGTAAAATCTGAAGCATGATGAGCCCCCGCAACAGAAAACCTGATCACCATAAAATTAAGGCTTTCTGTAATGCAGCAACAAGTTTGCAGGGAACATAAAGTCCTCAGTTATTTCCGTGTGATGAACACTGTGCACATCCTCAACTGAATACGCTGCTCCTCTCAGGCAATCACTGACTGGAACAGATTTAGTGAGAGGTGTGTCTGTGTTGGGAAAGCAAGACCTCAGGCTTGTGGGACAGTACTGGCAAGTTTTGGAAACCAGATAAGGTTAAACACTGTAGTAAATACCTAGCAACACCCAGGCTCACTGGAAATGCGTGCCTCTGCCTACGTTTCTGCAAAATTAAAAAAACGGACATGTATGAAACGTACATGTATTTCCAGTTGAAATGAACACTAGAGGCAGAAAACTCTGACAACTTTTATTGCCTAATTTTCACACAATTCCCTGCACAATATTATGTTATGACTTCAAAATATTCTAATATGCTGCGAGATTTGAAAAGTAATACTTTTGAACATTAGTGTCACATACACAGCTCATATGTATGGGTTTTCTAATGCAGTAGGTTTGCTCGGTGGCTTACGTGATATGGTGTTGCACTTGTGAGGTGAAGCACTCCAGTGAAACTACGAATTGGCAAAACAGCTCAAACCCGTGCAGAAGGAAGTTAAAATAATCAGCGAATGAGTTTTTAAATCACTTTCACTTTTGTTGACAGTATCGGGTAGGTTTAAGTTTGGGTTTGGTGTAGGGGGGTGTGATATTTTCCGAAACAATTCTGAACTGCCGCAATACGTGCCTAAAGCAACATAATAAAAACATGTCCACAATTGAATGCGCATTTTAGTGCCACTCACTGGACATTTCACTCTGAAACTGCTGCGTAACGTGTAATAAGTTACGTAATATTGTGTTGCAGAAACTTCGACCACCCAGAACAACCAACAGAATCATAATAGAGATTTTTATATCACGTTACACAACTTAAGTTTTCTTCAAAAGTGAATTTTTTTATTACAATGTTACAACCTAGTTTTCAATTTAGATGAGAATCATTTTAATGTTTTCTTTTAGGACTCAAACAACTGCATAAGCATATGTGCAAAGTAGCACAGTATGAATATATATCTGTTAAATAGAGATTTGAGTTCTTGTTGTCTCACCTGGGGAGGAATGATGTCAAAGAGATCGCCCGCCAGTGCGTACTCTTGAGCGAAGATGTAGTATTCGTCAGTTTCGAAGGCAATGCCATACATGTTGATGATGAAGGGACAGGGTGACAGGTAGAGAGAGATGCTGTACTCGCGTAGGAAACTCTTCAGCTTAGTGGTTTTCTTCCGCAAGAATTTCAAGGCCATTTTCGTGCCTGGAGATAAAAAGAGATAGGTAGAGGTTAACATTTCTTGGCTTTTAATGCATTCCTGATTATTCTGTCACTGACACAGAGCTAATGGCCTACTTGCAAGATCGGAACATGCTCTTTTAAATGTCACGCCAAAACAATGTCAGGTCATGTATTAATGTGGGAAATCAGTTTACAAGGGAACGGCTCTTTTCGACTAATAAATTCTAAAGCAAGTTTGAGAGGTTCAAGAAAACCTGAAGCAAGTTCCACTATTTTCTGTTGTTTCTGCCTTAATGTTTTTTGCTTATTCAAAGTATTTGGCCATGAAAGTATGCAAATGCTTCTAGCTACACAAGTTCAACTGCAGTAAACTCATTGTATTATGTAGCGTCATTAATCCCCCCAGCACTCCTTTCAGTAAAACTCTTTATTGCATTAGTGGTCAACGTTGGTCCTGGAGAGCCACAGTCCTGCAGAGTTTTGCTTCAACCTTGATAAAAACTCACCTGCCTGTAGCTTTCTGGTAACCCTTAGACCAGAGGTCCTCAACTCTTGACCTCAAGATCCACTGTCCTGCAGAGTTTAGCCCCAACCCTAATCAAACACACCTGAACAAGCTAATCAGGGTCTTCAGGATTACTACAAAGTTGCAGGTAGGTGTGTTTAATCCAGGTTGGAGCTAATCTCTGCAGGAAAGTGGATCTCATAGGTCCAGAGTTGAGGACCCCTGCCTTAGACTTTGATTAGCTGGTTCAGGTGAGTTTGATTATGGTTGGAGTGAAACTCTGCAGGACTGTGGCTCTCTAGGACCGATGTTGTCCACCCCTGCATTAGTGCATCAAATGACTTCCATCAGTAGAATCAGGAGGGTGTCCCAACCACAGCCCGTCAATAAAAAGAATCATGTTTAAAAGGTACACTCTAAAAAATGCTGGGGTGTTTCAAACCAACATTGGGTCAAATATGGACTAACCCAACCGTTGGGTTAAATTTTTACATTAAATTTTTAACCCAAACGTTGGGTTAGTCCATATTTGACCCAAAGTTGGGTTGAAACAGCCCAGCATTTTTTAGAGTGTACTAGGTGCATCTAGGGAAGAACTTGGATATCCATGTGCAGAGATGTGTATTCCACTTTCTGTCTGTAAAACAATCAGTACTTTTAGATTTTGAATTTCAAATCAATTTCTCCAGTGTTTTCTGAACATTCATTCACAGAGACTGTCGTGGCATATTTTGTTTACTGCCAGTCTATTACTGAGGCATCATCTTTCAGATTTACTCAGCCCTAAATGACACAAACTGTGATTGTCATTCACATTGTCTCATCAACATCTTGAACAAAAAGACATTTTGAAGAGATTTTGCCTGAGAGTCACTACTGAGGTCTTTTGCATAACACACTGCAGAGGGTTAGCAGCTGCTGAGCAATTGAAAGGAAGGTCAAATGGCAAGAGGAACCCCCGCCCCCAACTTTGTTATTACATAACACAACAGATAGCAGAAGCTGTGTAGCTAAGATAAAGGCCTTCACAAAGGACCTTCATTATAAGCACAGCCGACAGTTGCACTTGCTCAGGCAGATGACAGGCAATCTGGGACTGCAGTAGGTGGAACCTTATGGGGAACCGTGAGCACAGAATGCAATCTCAACTTTACATACGTATACATTTCTTCTAGAATGCTGGTATGCTACAGAGTAGTTCTCTGTGCAATTAAAGATACCACGATCTTCCCTTTGTTGCCGTATTTCCTATATATACATATATCAAAGGATTGTACTTTTTTTACATAGCCAAAAGGCTTTTCAATTAATCAGAACCTAGTAAATCATGATTTTATAAATAATAATTGGTTGCGGTTGGAAATTTTAGTTTACTTAATAGGGCTAGGTGTTACAGTCCCTAACAATTCAGGGTTACAGTTTATTTTAAGGTGTCCTTGTTACAGTCTAATTAAACATTTAAGTACTGAGTAAAAATTAATTAACTACATATGCCTACTATATGGTTAGGGTTAGGGTTTGGCTTAGTGTTACTTGCATGTAATTATGGATAATTTATTGTTATTGTAATAGTAAGTACATGGGTAGCAAGTACACCTTAAAATAAAGTGTTACCCAATTCACAACACAACTAGCCTTGACTATGTTGAAGAAGATAAGTCTACTAGGTGGGCACTCCTGGGGGAAAAACACAACAACTTTCCAGCTCTACAACAATTAACACCACAGCCACCAAGGAGAAAAAAGAGGAAAAGCCAAAACCAGATCTTCACACCAGTGTGACACATCATCAGTTGTGTACCACTTTGTGGAAAGTGTTATTTAACACCACTTTAACTCAGACTTTCAACTTGGGAAATTGTGCAGAAATCCACAACTCTCATTTCACCAAATTGCATGTGTATGACATCAGTTAATGATAAATATTCACTTTTAAGCAAATGAAATGCACCAATGAGTCAAAGTTCCTACATTGCATTATAATATAACCTGTTCAGCAAACGTTTGCATGAACTGGTGTGTAAAACACAGTAAATTATCCTCTGCTGATAACAGTACACCTGCTGAACAAATGCATCGTTTATCCTCTGCAGTTTTGTTGCTAGGAGATGTCCGTGTTAGCGATAGCAAAGACATGTGTAGTTTCTTTACACATGCATCGGGCAACAGAACATTGTCATGGTCACAAGTCAGACGTAGGAGTATCCCACATTTGGATGAAATGCAGTATTAAAGAAAGGGGTCATTCTCATTTATAGAGAATAGAATACGACCCTGAGCAGTGGATACTGTGTTCTATATTTTCTGGAAGAGACAAACTGTACATTTTAAATGCAAATAAATGTTAAAAGTTAATTTTGGCAATTTAATTACAGTCTGAGTATTCCCACAGACATTATGAAACCGTCAAGATCAGAGGAACGCTTAAAGCAAAATACAAATGGAAAACGGCAAACACAAATTCAATTTACTCCTCTAGTGATATCCTAGCTGGTAAACACATTCTTCCTCTGAGGGGCATCCCATAATATACAGTACATGCAATAACTGTCAGGTATTGGAGCAGATATCCTGAAATGTAAATGTTATGACAGCACACGAGTTGTGCTGAGGCCAGCAGGATTGTGGATTCCTGGAACTGCCCCCACAGTGCACTGCAGCAGCCATCCTCTTAGTATGGCCGGTAATTCTGTGAATAATAAATGAGGTGTAGATGGATGGGGATTTTGGATGCTGACAGATGGTGTGTTTTGCATCTCTTTGAAATCTGGAGGATGCACAAGCCAAACAGGGAGCACTTTAGAGGCTGGAGAGCATCACTACACGTCCAAAAAGAAATGTAAACATGATGTCTTGAGCGGAACTTGTGGACATCTTGAAAAGAGGCTGAAAATGTAACTGGGAGAAGGCTGTTTTTTTAGGTATGCCTTCATGATCGTCACCGTCATTCAGTATGTTGTCCTTCAGAATAGGCTGCTGGTTTTCCAACAAGGTTTCTTGATTAGCTAAACCAGCAAGACTTACTTGGTCATCCATCAGCACTGGTTGACTAGATTCATCAGCTATTTTTTCATGGGAGAAGTAAGTAAGGCTATTGAGTTTTATTCCATCCCAGCAGGTCTTTGTGTTGTACTTTTGGTTCTTGAACTGCAGTTTGTTGTGTGTGTGTGTGTGTGTGTGTGTGTGTGTTAGCAAACCATTAATACTAGCGGCATCTGTTTACAACTAAAGCTACGGCAAGTTTCACTGTGTTATTGAAGAATTTGTCTCTTTGGAGATGCCATCAAAACGCTACATAGAGAATGGCACTTGCGTTTGTCTGCTGAACCATACTGGAGTTCATACGAACTGCATGCCAGACCACCTATTCAGCAGACTCGGGTTCATGAAACCATTTTTGCACTATAAACGAACTAAACTTCCAATGTCAGATGGACTCGTGTCCACTTCAAAAGCTCTAGTGTGAAAGCACATGTAATAGCTGTGAGCTGCAGTAATCGTTTGATCTACAGGATCTTGAAAACATGACAGATGACTGATAAATAATGCACGATTTCACAGGACTGAGAGAAATGTGTGCCTGTGTGTGTTTGTAAGTGTAGGTGGTTTTCGTTTTTGTGTACAAACATTCTTTGTCAGCTTGAATGGGAAAATTCTCTCTTTCATATACCAATTGTTTGTCCTACATATCAATTAATATTTAGGTGAAAGATATGAAATAATCAGAGTCAAGATATAAATATATATATATATAATGTTTAAATAACATACAACTCTATCAAAGAGACCTAGTCAGGGTATGCACCACATTGAATTTTACATGAATGAAAACGAGGTTGTGAGGGACAGACTTAACAGTCTTTAAAATAGCATATATATACACACACTATATAAAGGTTGCATGTAATTTTCAAAACTTTGAATGGAGTTTTTGTCTACTGAAAGTGGTTTAGAAAGATGTATCATCAGCTGAACAATTGGCATGTTGTTGAACACCCAATCAGCCTAGGTTTCATTCCTGTCAAAATGTATTCGATGCTACCCGACTAAGGCCTGTAAGCCAAGCCATCCTGTCCATCTCCTTCAACCTACCTCTGTTCTTGTGGATGACCAGGTCCACCTTGCCATAGGTGCCCTTGCCAAGCTCCCTAATGACCTCGTAGTATTTATTAAAGTCCAGCTTCTCCAGGTTCTCAGCAGTGATGAGCTGCAGCTCTTCCAGGACGTCAATGGAGGAACGGGACATGTGGGGCAAGGAGCTCATTATTCCAGAGACGGAGGGACCAGTTTCCACGAGAACAATGTTGATTTAGAAATCTAAAGGTAGGAAAGTGGAAAAGAAGGGTAGATTGTTGAAGTACATGATACAGTACTCTAAAATAATCAATTTCACACCTTTGGCTTTGGAACATGATTGCATTGGACACACACTTTATCGCTGACATCAAAGTTACAGAGATTGCGGGGCTTCCTAAACAAGTCCTTATATAACCTCGTGCATCCTACAGTTCACTGATCTTCTTTCTGTTGTGTGGAGGCTCTTTCATGTGCACGACATCACAGGCTGTATCTGAAATGAGAACGTATGAGAGGAACTGAGCAGAACAAAAGATCAGAGCACACAGACCCTGACCGATCCCCTTTGAAACACTAAAATCGCATTGTTCCATAGGGCTATTTACTTCCGCACCACGAAACCTCTCCAAAAGTAGCCTGTTGCATAACGCCATATTTCATAGTTTTTGGCTAACATGCACTATATGGCTTCAACAAATGAGCTGAATACAAGTGAAGTGTAAGAACAAAACATAATTCATAAAGTAAGTACAGGGTATGTAGTCACAATGCACAACAAATAGTACAAAAGCAGACTAAAGTGCTGTTCATTAGTGTCTGATACCGTTTGTGCTGCAGGCATGAATGATATTTAAAATATGAAGCTGTTGAATAATTTTTTTTAAGCGACATAATATTTTTAGAAAAGGTTTCCAATGGCCAATATAATTCTAATATAGTAATAACATTTGATTGACCTGATTTTAAGATGTCTTTGTTACAATGTAATTATACAATTAAGTACCGAGTAATAGTAATTATCAACATTTACTTAACTATAGGGTTGGGGTTAGTTGCATGTAATTATGCATAATTAAAATAATTTAAAAAATGTCAAAACAATTTAGTAAATGCATATAATACTATGAAAGATGTAAACAAAATTGTTTACATTACATAAACATGTATTTTATACAGTGCAATATACAATATTAGAAAATGTGCATTATTCATTGACAAAGCAGTAGAACTGACACCAGTCTGAAAGACCGCTTCTATTAATCGATCAAATAGACCCATTTATTGGATCAATATAAAAATATTTCAAGAATCTGCCTATAACCAACACACTGAAATTGTAAAGACCGCTTCTATTAATCGATCAAATAGACCCATTTATTGGATCAATATAAAAATATTTCAAGAAATATTTCAAGCACTTTTGGATAAGCAAACTCGCAAAGTTTTGTAGTAGTAGTTATTTCTCTAAACAGCTGTTGTTTTAGCATATGTGGGAATACAGTATAAAAGGCATTATGAATGTTGTGACATAAAATTAGAATGTCGTGAGATATTAGATTTCATAATGGCCTGCTCGAAGAATGCTCAATGGAATTTCTGCTAATATAACAGTTTGTCTGATGAAATTTCTGAATGAATTTACAGTCCTGATGGCACCTCAGACCTGCCAGTGCTCATTAATAGAGAAGAATGTGTCGAATGAGACAGGATGACAGCACTTGTTCAGTGACACCATCTGTGGAAATTTGAAAATGTCTCTGTATGCGTGTGTGTGTGTGTGTGTGTGAAAGAGAGAGAGAGAGAGAGAGAGATGGAGCTGCCGGAAAGCTTTTTTTTTGGCTACTCATCAAACACTTTGAACCCCCTGCACAAAACTAGCTCATTCTGCTTCCCATCTCAAGGATGGACGAGTGACAACAAAGATGAAAGGAGGACTGTGTCAGTTATAAGAAAGTCTTGATCTGACAGGAAACATTCAGCAGAAAACACAAACACTTTGAACCCCCTGCACAAAACTAGCTCATTCTGCTTCCCATCTCAAGGATGGACGAGTGACAACAAAGATGAAAGGAGGACTGTGTCAGTTATAAGAAAGTCTTGATCTGACAGGAAACATTCAGCAGAAAACAAATGTATAGAGTGCTTAATTCATTTCAGTTTATATACAATTTACTTATGAAAGAGAGTGACAACCACATTATGTAAACAAAGTGAATCCCTGAAATTAACTGGAGTCGTGAGTTTGGTACAGATATGCGTATAAGAGTCGTTCTCCAAAGAGAAAACATCAAAAGCATTTCCGAAATGAAATACTGAACAGTTTAGAACTAAAATTAAACCTCCGTTGCGTCCGAAATCACTTGTCCGAGTAGGTAGAATTTGAACTTCACAACCGTTCGAAAAAAAGAGTACGTTCTACATAGTGTAGTATGAATGAAATTCGGACGTACTACAACCGCCATGTTGTTACGGTCATGTGACCTAACAGCATCAGTTTCGTCACTTTACTGCCATTCATAAATCCTCTCCCGTGGCCTCATGGGATTGTAAAGTGTCCACTGAATTTTAGTAGTTGCTAGGGAGTTGCATACCTGTTCATCCCGAACTGAAGCCGTCAGTGGCAGCTACTCCCTTTAGACAAACACTCATGACAACTACAACTCCCAAAAGCCCCAGCTCACATTTGCGCAAACACAATTAGATAGATAGATAGATAGATAGATAGATGCCCAATAAGAGTATAATTAGCAGTGGCTGGATGTCGTTTTTCAAAGCAAGTCTTTCCAGTGGACATACAGACAACAGCCCACACAGTTTCTCATCTCTTGAGTAAATGTGGCATGTTGTACCGCTTTCTTCATGCAGTTCTCCATTACCGATGTGCTGAGCCCGGTGCTTTGTTGACCTGTTCCTTATCATATTGTGCTCACTGTTTATTTCTCTGGCTCTCCTCCTCCAGCTTCTACAGAAAAAGCAATGCTGCCAGAGATGGAGTGGCTGCCAAAGTCCTGTGCTTAGCCATTTAAAGGTAATAATCATCAGCAAACAGCTTAATCAATGCTGTATGGGCTCTCACGGCCACCGCACTTAACACTCGCACTGTAAATATCCATCTAACTCCTTCAGAGGTGAGCACTAGCACTTAATATTTACATATATGCTGTATAGCTGCATAAGCTGTACAACTACAATCTGCAGCCATTGAGAAATGTTTCCAATGAAAGAATGAAAACTTCTGTACAACCTTAAGCATCACTATTGCTCATATTTAGGATTAATGATTCAAGCAACCTGTAAACATAATTTTTGACATGAATGACAGGTCAAGTTGTGCAGCTTGTTGTGTAGAGGTGTGCTGCTACTTTCTGAATCGATCTTACTTGAGATTTTGCCTGGTGGACAATAGGGCTGTCAAAATGGCTGAAAAACTAAATTCAAATTTTTTACTTAAATATTATCAAAATTCGAATTATATTCAAATTTAAAATGCATAATTTCAGTTAGGGTGAAGAAAAGTTTTGGCTTCTCTCCTGAGGCCACAAGAGGGCGCATCGAGCAAAATATTACTAATGCACGTTTATTCAAAGCATAAGATAACACAACTATCTGTGAAAAAAGTGCATAATGTTTAAAATAATGTTTATAAACCAATTATAATTAAGTTGCTTAAACAACTATAAACAAAACAGCATCATGTATGTATGCATAGTTTAATACAAAGTCATCGCATCTCGTGCGCCACTGATAAGGCTGCCTCGTTAACGCACACCTAAAATTCGAATGCAACGTTTTTGCATTCGAATGTGTATTTTTATTTTAAATTCGACGAATATTCGAAATTCGATTTTTTTTTTTGACAGCCCTAGTGGACAATATAATGGCTGAGAAAAAAAATCCTATAGACTTATATTGACAGAGGGACCCAAGCTGTATAGAGCCTTGGGGGTGGGAATTTTTATACTTAGGCACCTAGCAACACTCCGAATAAATGCATAGCAACACACACACACGCACGCACGCAATCACACACACACACACACACACACAAAACCATATAACCATAACCATATAGCAATCTTCTGGCAACCACTGATAACACCTTAGTATTGTAACATCAGCTCTAAAAAAATCATAATTTTTCATCACTCACATTTAATAAAAAATGTTCAAACCTATTTCCTCTTTGTTGTTTATATATCAAAATGACATATCATTTATAAGCTCTTATATATAATGTTTGTTATTGTGGTATAAAATTGAGTATGGGAATATTGAAAGCCATTATACACGAAGTATATGTTTTTTTAAGTACATTTTTACAGAAATAATATACTTTAAAATAGTATACTTAAGTGCTTAACTGAATGTATTGTTTTTGCACACTTAAATGTGTGGTATTTGCAATTAAATGAAATTGTATTATAAATGCATATTAAATGCAATTAGTTAAGAGTGGATTTTAACACACTTAAGTACATCTTTGTGTAGTTTCATAATTACTTCTATTGTCTATGAAAGGTGGTTAAAGTGTACTGCTGCTGGATGTACTGACATTAAAACATTTATGGTAAATTAAACTATACATGGTCATTTCTATTAAAACTTGTACGTCATGTATTTAAATATATATTTGTGATTACACATTTGTAATGATGAAGTCTACTTTAAATATAACATTAAGTAACACACTACAGTCAAAGTCAAGTACTTTGAATGTGCTTTGTTAATAAACTTTTTAACATGACATTACTACAAAGTACACTTTTTAAAAGTGTACTTAAGTGTGTCTTAAGAAATACAGTAATTAATGTGTACTTTAAGTGCCCTTTTATTTCATTATATTATCTGAAAGTCCAGTATTTTAAAAAATATACTTTTAAAAATTGAAGTAGGTACACTAAAAGTACACATCCAATACAAGGAAGCACGCCTCTTATTTACAAGGGTAGTTCGCTTGCTAGTGCAGGTAATCCTAATGTTTGTATTTGTGCAGTGAAAAAGCCATTACCCTTTCACTCCAACATACACAAGAAACCTGCACAGATATTGACAGCAAATGCTCAGCGGACTGGGTTTGTATGTCAGCATAGAAGACAGTGCATTTTATTTACTCTGTTTCCATGGAAATCGAGTAGCAGTCTAGCAGACAGATAAACCACCGGTGGAAACTGAAATGGTGTTAGGACTTTGTGTACTTTCAGAAAACCTTTTGCCATCAGTCTCTGTAATGAAGAAGATTTATCTAGCGCTGAAAACAGAACGAGACAGGGTTCAAATCAAGATTGAAACTGCCATTGGAGTTATGGAGTAATCAGTGTATGGAGGGTAGATATATAAGCCTGTCCAGTTGTTTAGCAGCACAAATCCCTTTACCATTAATCACAACGACAATCACGTGTAGCGGAAGCACAGAGGAAATTAATATCTGGAACGTCCAGAGAATCTTGGACAACTATTCATTTTTCCAATCCATAAAGGGATAGTTCTCCCAAAAAATGAAATTCCAGTCATCATTTACTCATCCTCATGTCATTCCAAACCTGTACGCATTTCTTTCTTCTGTGGAACACAATAAAATATATTTTAAAGAACACTGGGGTCCAGACAACATCAGACCCCATTGACCCTGGGATGATGACAGAACTTTCATTTTTGGATGAACAATCATTTTAAATCCGTTGCATTGAAGTCACATCCTACTGCATCTGCCCAGGTCCTATTGTGCACCTTCGATTTCTTATAAACCATTTTGTTGTTCGTCTTTTAGTCCAACACTTTGCAATAGCACGCTCTACTGTGTTCTGTGACGGTGCTGAGCTTTCTGAGACTTTCGAGAAAGCCCCATAAGCCCTGTTAGTGCTGGTCTGTTTGCTGGTTGTGTTGGTTCTGTGTTCTGCACACAAACACACACACACACACACGCAATGCTCACAGTGCTATGAAGCACATCAAAGGCAGTGGGCTTGGCAAGTCTCTGCATTTTGTGTTCACGCTTGGAGACAGATCGGCAGAGACACCAAGGGCTCGAGGCTTGGTCCTATAGTCCTCTCTGCTGTTTTCACAGCAAGCACAACGCTCCCCGCTGGTGAGGCAACACAGGCAGGTCGCAAGCTTAAAGTCAACATGGAATCAAAATTGACCATATTTATTTTTTATGCATGTTCCTTTGAGACTTTAGTGTTTGCAACTTTACAGATCTTCTTTATGCACCAAGAGCTTGTAACACTCTAAAGAGAAAGGAAAAATTGAAATCGCATCATATGACCCCTTTAAGATATCTTTTACCTTTTCTTTTAGCTGACATCACAAATGCCTTCTTAGGGGCCATTCACACAAAACATGTCTGTGCGTCGCAAATCGCGCACTTATGCACTATTCTATGACGTTTGATAGTATAGATAGTGTGAGTAGTGTGCACGCACTGAAAATTCCAAAAATAAAAAATTGCACTTTAAATACCCGGATGATGCACTTAAATAACCGAAAAAATGAAGTGTGGAATGTTGGACACTTCATGCACTCAACTGTCGCAGCTTTAATTACATTGCGAATGCGGGAGGGCTAACAGACTCTGATTATTAATGACAAAATAACCTTATAAAATTCATACACTACATGGCTGAGTAGTACTAGTGTATAAGTGCATAGTGTATAGTGTGTCATTTGGGATGCAGTTTGTCTTAAAACGTGAGACGCCTGTTTTGGAAATGACATTGATGAGTGGTATTGCGTGTAAAAGTTGAAATTCTTTTAACTTGACACAACTTCTTAAAAATGTGACGCTCGTGTGTGAGACGCTGCAAAAGATGCAAGACGCAAGCGCAACGCTCATACACATCCATCTAGAAAACAATGGAAACGTAGCACATTGGAATGGAAAAACGCATTCTGTGTGAACAGCCCCTTATTTTTTCAACCCCCGACCAGCCGCTCCAGCCACCTGCCTCCATTCTGATATGTAACACCCACTTTTAACAATCCATTCAGTTCCTGGTATATACTAATTCAAAGAATTTTTTATTTCTTATTAAATAAATACTTATCATCATTTGTCGTTTGAATGTGCTATATTATTTCATTCGCAAATACGTTAGATAGTGTAAGCAAACTGGTTTACAAATGGTACTGTCTGCACATATTTGCATGGCTCTGTGCAAATGCTATGAAAGGTCTTTTCTAGCTTGAATTATAGGTCTGATACATATACCGGTACTTATTTCAAACATCGCAGCATGCCTGATCAAGGTTGCTTGACCAAAATGTTGCAATGCCATTTTCAGTGTTTTATGAAATTTAAACTACAGGACTTCACAGCATGAAATAATGTGGCCCTCAATTTAAACCTCATTAAATATAACTAGACTATAAGAAAAAAAATGGATGCTGTTGTCTGTTTACATGTACTGCGCCAAATAAACAAAGCAAGGTGTTATTATAACACATATAATAAATATAATGAATATATAAACCTTAGAAGTAAAGAAAGGTATTATGGAAGTAAGGCATTTGCATTATCTAAACAGTATGCAAATGTTAATTTTAAAATAGCAGCTCTCGGTTCTTACTGGATATGCAATGGCAAATTAAAATGACATTGCGTATCAATATACAGCTTTTCTTTTATAGGCTACATTATATTAGTGTTAAATACAATGTTTCCTACCTTTTAGGGAACAAATGATGCGCAAACCCCCGCTGTCATTCCGTTGTGGTCAGTGTTAATAACTAGAACATCAGAAGCAATGTTTTTCTGCTGCCCTCTCTGTTATTTTCTAAAAGCCTTGATGTACTAATATTGATTCTTGTGCACCTCGCGCGGATGCGTCTGACAGACAGACTGCTGTTGCCCTATTGTCTCTCCGCTGGTTGTGGATGTCTGTAATGACAGCGCTGTCCCCGCCCACCGTATTATCGACCAATCAGAGAACAGACTGAGGGAGCGCTGCACACGCCCACCGCAAAACTCAACAAACCAGAGAACAGAATGAGACAAAGATGTATCAGTCCGCTGCGCTAACCGACCAATCAGAGAAGAAAGCGATGGACCGCTGAGGTTGGTACGTTCTGTCTCCGTACAGATTTCTTCTTGCATGAGGAGGTGCTTAGAGACGCAGGACATGAGGAACAGACATAATAGCTCCCGCAGTCAAGAAAAACCTGGACATATATACACTTGTTCCAGGCATAGAGAAGTAGGTAATGGAAAAGTCAGGAAAATACATTTTCCATTAATGAAATATTTAGTAGGCCTTCTTAAGAGAAAACCTTCTTAAAAAAACCTCTCGAAAGGTGAGTAATTCGTTATTGAAGTCATGGTCATTGATTCATTCATTGGTCACCATGTGGAAACACTTGCAGTTAACTTATGTTGTTGATAAATTATAAGGTAGGCTAGGCAGATGGTTGGCACTGCCAGGGTAATTTGCTGGTTATAGGCTAATTGAATTATCGAGATTAACTTTCAAACTTTTTCTGTCAAAAAATAATCTCCTGGTAAAAATGTTACAACATTTTAGAGAAATGGGGGGAGGGGGAGGGAAGAATTTATTTAAAGATTAGAAACCGCTTTATTTACAAGATTTGGAAGCCACACATTACTTAAAGGGGTCCTATTATGCTTTTTCACTTTTTTAAATTTTAGTCAGTGTGTAGTGTGTATGTTTGGGCATAAAAAAGATCTAGAAAGTTACAAATCTCAAAGTCCACTCCAAAGGGAGATATTTCATTTTTTAAAAATCCCTTTTCAAGAACTACAACGAACGGCTCGTTTGGACTACAGCGTTTGCTTTCCGGGCTTTGTGATATCACAAAGCGGCCCATTAGAATATCATTAAAAATAATTCCCGCCTACAGAAATCCGAATGGTTGTGGGGTGGGGAGGGGCGAGGTTAGAACCATACAGTCTATGGTAAGGACGCATGGTTGAGTGCATCAGACAAGATGACGACGAAGAAGAAGTGCTGCTGTAGCATCAAGTTTTCGCAAGTTATTACACATGCACCTTAATATTTATGTATGTAAATATGTATGTTACAATTATGAAAACGTTTTTATAAT